AATCGGCTTTGTGTTGTCTTTTGGGTAGATACCTAGGAGTGGGATTGCTGGGTCATATGGAAGCTCCATGTTTAGCAGTTTGAGGAACCTCCAGTTTTCCATAGTGGTTGTACTAGTTTGCATTCCCACCAGCAGTGCAGGAGAGTTCCTTTTCCTCCACATACTCACCAATATTTGTTGTTGCTAGTTGTATGAAGATGTGCCATTCTCACTGGTGGTATCTCATTGTGGTTTTGATTTGCATCTCCCTTATTACGAGTGATGTTGAACATTTTTTCATACGCTTGTTGGCCATCTGCATTTCCTCTTTGGAGAAGTGTCTTTTTAGCTCTTCTGCCCATTTTTTGATGGGGTTGTTTACTTTATTTTTGTTGAGTTTCATCAGTTCTCTGTATATCTTTGTGATCAATCCTTTATCACTAGTTCTGTGTGAGAAAATTTTTTCCCCAGTCAGTGGGATCTCTGTTTTTTGTAATGTCTCTTTTGCTGTACTGAAGATCTTTAACTTGATGTAGTCCCATCTATTTACCCTTACCTTCGTTATCGTTGCATTGGATACTGTATCTTCAAAGATGTTACTGAAGTGTATGTCGTGTAGTGTTTCACCCATCTTTGCACCCAGGTATTTTATGGTTTCCGTTCTTATCCAGGCCACCTTTTACTTATAGATATTTTCTGGAAATTTCACTTAAAAAATCACTTTGTTCCTTAAATATTCTAAAATACAGTTCTCATAATTTTCCATTTTATAATGAATTGATTGGGGGAAACCACAAATTATGAAGTAATATGATACTTTGAACTTCTACACATACTGTATCTATATGAAAATATATTATCTGGCAGATTTGAGTAATAATGCTTACAAAGGCCTGGTTACAAGATTAGTAATTGACTGGCATTGGCAACTTGAACCTGGGAAATTTTCCCATCCCCACCTTTGAAAAAGAGTGGTTCATTTTGCCTTTATGTTTTTGCAAGCACTTTGGTTTAAGCTGAACACCTGCTTTCCTTCTGTAAATCTGGAATTTGGGTACATGCCAGGCAGAGATTGCCTGTGTGATCAGCTTCTAGCAAAAAATTTATACAACTTGAGCACTGACTCTGATTGGTAGTCTCACATGTGTGATTGGGAGAATTAAGCAAATCCTGTGTGAGCCACTGGGAGAGGACTCTGGAAACGTGTGCCTGGACTGCACTTCTTGTGCCTTTGCATGTCGCTGGTTGTACCTTGTATTCTTGTACCAAGTTATACTATGACAGGTCCTTGGGTCCTCCTACTTAAGTCATCTGGAGGTGGGTTGGGAACTCCTGACAATTTCTTATTGGTAGTAATTCAGAGAAGATCTGAGAAATGTGTTGTTGGTATTTATATAATTTGCAGCTCAACATCACAGTACTTTGGAGGAGAGAGTAGACTTATATTTGGCGGTAATGTTCAAACATTGTTCTCGAGTCAGTAATTAAGACTCTTGAATCTTCAAGTTCGTCTAAGACTTGTAGGTTATGGGCTTGCCCTTGTTTTTAAATTTAAAAAATAAATTAGTTCATTAGTTTAATTTGCTTTTTCCCCTTTCAAATGGCCTCTAAGTGATTAGCTCTGTGCCCAAATTAATAAATGCTTGGTTTAATGGAAAAGACCTCCAACAGTACCGAATTCCTGCAGTATCTACTCCCACATTCTGCTCCTAGCACCCACTCTGAACTGTGCCACCGCAGTTATGGGCTTCCAAACATTAATATTCCTTTAGCAAAACACAAGGAATGTTATTTTCAGGATTTTATACATTATAAGGTGCTGTTAACTCAATGAAAAACTGATTTTTCAGACTTAACCACATTTAATAATGATGACGATTTTTAATAGTTATTATGACAGTGAATCTAAACTCAAATGTGTATGTGTACTAACATCCTTAGAAATTAAAAGATATATACCAAAGCAGTTTGCCATGTTCACTAAAACAGGTTAAAATAATAAAAATAAAATTCTCAGTCTTTGTACCATAAATCTTACCCACCTTTCACATGTCCCCAACTAGCTGTAAATTGATTTCTCCTTTTGAAGGTGCTGCCATACCAATTCCCCTATCAATATTACAGTAGGCTGCCATTTTGACACTTAGAATAGATTCTACTATTACTTAAATTTTAGGCTGCTATGGGCCATGACTTGTAGTTACAGGAGCCACAAGTTCACATGAGAGTACAAACTGAAATGTGAAACCCTTGTGTGTAAATCTGTATATGATTGGCAAAAACCAAGATCAAGTATGGAAATAACTCAAGATGAGAACGCACACTTTCTCAAGCTCTATTGGTCTTCATTTTAGAGGATCATAAACAAATCGACAAATTTTGGTATTTCTGAAACTCGAGATGTGATTTTAAAATTCAAGTATTTATAAATGAAAATGCTAAAATGTACCTATCATTTATAGGGAAGTGATAACGTTTTACCTAATCTTATGAATAAAATCTATATTGCATATTTAGCAAAGACATGATTTAAAATGATTTTGCTAACTAGCAGCAAGAGTAAAAATTTTGCCTGGAAAGCTTTCCAGAGAAAATATATTCAAGCACTCTTTGAGACCTAGATGCTAACAAAAAAGCATCTAGAGAACTGACATAAGGATTTTCTTACTTGGGTGACCCTCAGCCCTGGAGTAACTGCTGGATGTGCACAGAAGCTGGTACCTATGAGAAAGCTCCTAAGAAGATCTTTCAAAGAATACGTGTGTGAGACCAGCATGAACTCAAAGCATGAAGCTTTATAACCATTGACATAACATGGTATCCAAATATGTAATCATTTTTGTAGTAATTTGTTGCTACTATATTTAATATTCATTGCTACTATATTTAATAAAAGTATTGTTATATGATGGATTAGATTTTAATGGCTCTTCACCACTAATAGTGTAGGAATATTTGTTTAAAAAAATCAGTATCCTGGGCCCCAGCATAAATTGATGGAATCCAAATCCCTGGGAATGGGGACAAGTCTCAGCAAAGTGCATTTTAGCAAGCTGTTCAGTTCACTCTTTTTTTCCAGGTGAAGCCTCAGAACTGCATGAGAAGGCAAGTGAGCAGTGTGCCTAGTTACTTCTCAAGTACAGAATGCTCCCATCTACAATGATTCAACCTAGTTTTTTGAGTTTGGTATGAAAGTGGTAGGCATTTAGTTGAAACCTTACTTCCAGCTTTGACTGAGGAGTCCTATTTTTCACTTTCAGTGTGAAATAAATTCAAAAAATTACATGAGATACTCAACACCTTGTTATAAAATAGACTTTGTAATCAATGATTTCCCCTAATTGTAGGTTCATGTCAGGATTCTGAGCACATTTAAGGTAGGCTAGGCTAAGCCATGATGTTTGATGGATTAGGTGTATTAAATTCCTTTTCAACTACAATATTTTCAACTGAAAATGGTAAGTGAAGGAAGATCTGTACAACATTCCCTTCAGAAAGCCATCTGCTTTAGGAACAGAGTTGCAAAGGTAACAAGTTGGACCGAACTAACAATGGTCCCCATGGGTGAGGTTCAGTTACTGATTCACAGCACAACCCTGGAAACAGAAACCTTTGGTTTGCAGATAGTTTCACCCTAGTTTAGAAGATGCCTTTGTGAGACACCCTGCAATTCTCTTCACTGCCCTTGCAGGAAAATTGTAATCTCTACACTAGTGAATGATGTGTTGAGTGTGAAGGATGTCGGGGCCCTTGGCTGTGGATCCTGCAGTATTGGCACAGCTGTGCACATGCCCAGAATTGCAGTCACTTGTGACTGACCCAAGGAAGGGGCCACTGCGGGGCGGTCGGTCAGCCATGGAGGAGGAATCTGGTAGAACCGGAAGGAAAAGAAAACTGAGCGTAACTCGAGGTGTTGAACAATTGCACTCCATGAATGTGAACTGAGTTATCTCCTCTTTGTTAGGAAAGTGCTTTACCTTCAGGCACAATAGTGTGTCATTGCTCTAGGGTCACAATTTCCGTCTCCTAAACAGGGCATCACTGATGTCTCTGGAGCCCCCTGTCTTCTGTTTCCTTCTACCCTTTGTCTACCAGGAGCTCCTTCAGGTGTAAGCCTCCCCAGGCAGCCTTCCTGGACCCCACGGGCACAATGAGCCACCCCCACACGCACACACTTGTCTGTTCTTCCAGTGTCCAGCATGCATCTCTGGTTTGGTAAATTTTTATGCAGTGAACAGAGATAATGAATTAAAAGTGATTGTTCTCTACAGATAAATGTTGCCTGCAACAGGAACTGTGTCCCTTTCATTAAAGGGACAAATAAATATATGTGTATGTTTAGTGTACATTTAATATATATTGAAGTTTAAAGAATGTTAGCAAAGATGTTGGCAGTGAGAGGAAAGGAAATCCTTTTAGCTTAGATCAAGAATTAGATTTGTTCAATCATGACTTGGTTTTATAGCTATCTATTTGAAATGGAATGGAGGGAGGAAGGCGGGGGAGAAAACTTTAATGCTGAAAGTTCCAGAGAGAAAAACAATTTTGTTAACATGAATCTTAAAGTGTCTCCTCAACTCCGTCTCTTTCCATTCCAACGACTATTTTTGTGACTCATTTGTAATCAAGCAGCTATTTTATAATCAAATTTTTATAACGTGATTTTTGGGAACATAACAATCCTGATGCAAATCAGATGAGGCCTGTGTGCAGAATGTGTGATCCATGATATTCTAACTTGGGGATACAAGTCTGCCACTCACTCAATCGCCAGCTCCTTAGGCTCCAGAGCTTTGTCTTCCTGGCCGCACAGTATCAACCGAATGACTATAACAGATGAACATGCCCCCACGCCCTGTGAACCCCGCTCCCTGAAGTCATAGCACTACACATCTGAAAATAACAACAAAACAAATACAAAGCAGGTGTCACTTGCCATGATTATTTGCCACCCCAAGGCCAAAATGTTTCTCCTAATACTTAGAAGTATTCGTTGGACTCTAATTCGTTTTTCTTGTCAGGAATCCTCATCATGATGTCCATGTGCAGCGAGGTGCATGTGTATGAATATCTCCCATCCATCCGGCAGACAGAACTCTGCCACTACCACGAGCTATACTACGACGCAGCCTGCACGCTGGGCGCCTACCACCCGCTGCTGTATGAGAAGCTCCTGGTGCAGCGTCTGAACACGGGCGCCCAGGGGGACCTGCACCGCAAGGGGAAGGTGGTCCTTCCGGGCCTCCGAGCCGTCCACTGCCCTGCACCCCAACCTGCTGTGCCACACTCCTGAAAAAGGACTCTTGGGAATCAATGTGCAATAAGGTACTACTGTCGTGCTCTAAGTCACGAGGAATACTTGAAGATGCTTTTAGGCAATGTAGTCTTGAGTCTCTAAGCTGTAATTGAGTGGTGATCGCAAGCATTCTTCTCTTTCTAAGCCATTGAATATTTATCACTGTTTTGAATATAGAAATGAAATTCAAAAAGATGAAAGCTCAAGGAAGGTGCAAAAAAAAAGATAGAAAAAAACAAGTATTTAATAAATGGATGCTATACCTCCAAAAATATTACCCTTTTCTTATGCTATGGGCACCCCATTTCGGGACTGACTTCTGCTACCGGTTTCAATGACATTATTTTGTGAAAGAGTTTATACCCAAGAACATTCACATTGAGCTGTGATATTGTCAGCAATATGTGTACATGCATCCATCCATCATTAAATGTCATTAAATATCCTAGGTTTTGGACAAACATCTGAATTATTATTCAGATGTGTTTAACAGCAAGAATCCCCAGCGCAAATTAGGGGGTGCACATGTTTCTAAACCATTGCATCCCTCAGCTCTGCTTCCCCTTGCTTGCTAAATGCTTTGAGTTACAGGACCAGTTTCTAAAATTATAAAGTATCCCTCTTGAGCAGCCTAAGAAAAATCTGTTCCCAGAACAGCACCACTTTGTTTTCCCTGGTCAAATATTCCCTGATTTGACCAGGAGGGTAGTTTCACTCCCAGATGGAAAGGACTATTGTCAGCAAATAAATACTATCACTGCAGGATGGCTCTGGGCTTTCCCGCCTTGTCACTCCTCCCCTGTCAGTCCTCCCTGAGAAAAGCCTTTCATAGTTACTTGTGGACAGTTGGGCACCCCTGTGAGGTAGGACTCCTCCTAGTCCAGAAGGAATGGTTGGGGAACAGTCACTCTGTATTTCTGGGAATGCAGTACTGGGAAGCCGACAGGGCTATAGTGGATTTTCACTAATTCTTGCTGTAGACAGACTTTTAAGAACCCCAACCTTGTTTTCACGGCTGTGTTTTATGTCAGCAACATAACAAAGCCATATAATGAAATGAAATTATGTAAAAGCATTACCTTTTAACAACAAGGAAACTATGTATAGACCTCAGAGGGAAAGGCAGCTAGAGGGAAAATTGTCATTCCAGGCTGTTAATTTTCTTCACTTTCACTTGTTTATTTTTCAGTCTCTACTTTTGCCACTGATAGAAATATTTGGAAAACCTTAATGACATGTTAACTACATCATAATTAATTTCATGATATCCTGAAATCCTATTTCAGGTGCAGTTAGGATTTCTTGTCAATGAAAATGGTGATTTAATTAGACGTGTTCACCTTGCAAGTGTGTGAATGCCAGGAGAGTTTAGTGGAAAGGCTTTTTCTTGTTCTAGTATTGTATATTTTTGAGATCTCTTTCTTGAGCAGGAAAATAAGAAACTGACAGCTTCCATTTGGTGCGTCTACATCCTAGAAGTCAGATTGGGTTTAGATATGTCCTGTAAGTTAGTCTAATGGTGAACTAGGGGTCATTGCAAAGTTCAGTCATGAAAACATCCACGAAATGCCCATGTTGAGAATTTGTTTCCATGAAATGGGATGGATAAGTTTATCCTGCATGTTATCTTATGTCTAAGCAGACATGGTCACATCACTTTTCTTTCTTACTCCCTTTTTAGTGAGTGATGAATTCAGTGATTTGGGATGCTGGCAGGGTGAGCAATCCTCCTGCAAGCCCTGGTTCTACTTGGACCTTCCAGGCTGCCTTCAAATGCCCGTGACATTGAACTTCCCTTTTAAAGTCTTCCTGCTGGGTTTCCTTACCAGTGTCTTATCCATGACACCTTGTTTGGTGACATGAGAACTTGACTAGAGGAAAATTTATTGGGGTCACTGTAAATATTCAAGTTCAAAGCCCCAGAATACATCTCAAAGACTTTTCAATAGCATTTTTTTGTAACACATGTACTTTTTTCCCTTTCAGTCTTAACTGAGGTTATAAGAAAGACTGAAGAACATAAAGGAAACTTAATTAAATTTTTTTAATTTTTATGGCCTTAGAGACCCTTGAGAATCAGGGTCTGTTAAACACTCAGAAATGTGGTATATTCTGATAGCATAGCCTGGTCATTCTTCTATGTAAAAGTTGCCATTGTACAGTCTCTCAAAAACATAAGGCCATTAGAATTAATATGATGACCACTTCTACTATTAGCCAAGTGATTCTAAGTGGCACTATTTTGACAGACGTTAAGTCCTCATATTCCGCATTTACTGAAATGCAATAAAAACATGGCCTTTACTTAGAGTGGTTAACAATAAGTGTTGTCCCAATGCATTGACCCCAGCTCTGTCCCTTTCAGAACCTTCCATTCTCTTCTGCCAAGGGACGCTGATAAAATCCTTATGGTGCAACCTGAAGCCATTAGGTGGCTCGTTCCTCACTCTCAGGACTTGCAGCTCACACTTCAAGATCACTTCACTTGACCTCTTTCTGCTTTTGTTGTTGTCATCCCACATAAGTTGACCAGGAATGACAACTCATCTTCATCTGGGTTCCCCTTCATTGGCCTCCTCAGTACTTCTAGCAATAGCTGAGTAAGGTGTACTGTTCTCACTGTCCCCATGGAAGACCAGTGCCAGCCATGTGTCCCTAAGTCCTTGCGGAGAAGGACTTTGTGTGTAGTAAAGCCGAGAAGTAGTCATTTAATAGTTTCATGTAAGCATCATGCAGCATGAGGGGCATGAACTAAAATGGAACATGTGGGGGGCTTTCATGCATCTTTCAATTTCTGGGTCTTTGATTTCTGCACTCCGCTGCCATGCATCCTGTGTCCTCTATCTCTCAGCCAGACAGTCAATCCTGGACTGTCCGGTAATCACCTGTCATTGTAGCCATAGCATCTGGACAAAGCAATGTTGAAATAAATAATCATTAGCATTTTCTAAATTGGAAAATAAAAGTAACTGTTTAAAGTACCATGGGATCACACTGTTACATGTTTATGAGCCAGTTAGTTCTGGTGGAACAGAATAATACCTTATGTTATTGGTCAACCCTTCTGGGCAGTAACACTAACACCTGCTGAATTAATTCAGTCCTGTTTGACTTCATTAAGTGGAATCAGCCCCACAAGAGTAATGGCATGTGATGGGAGAATTTTGTGTACCCAAATGACATTATTTAAAAGTTTTCTCCAGCCTGACTTAGAGATCAGTACACATGCTTCTCTCAGGTTGGTGGCCTACATGATCAATCCCTTTTCTTGCTTAGCTACTGGAGAGAGAAAAAGGGGGCAGGAGGGCGTATCTGGATATTCAAGAAATCAATGATTGAATATATAGGCCAAGCAAAATCTCTAAATATGCTCTACCATATAATGTTTTGAATTCTTACGTTCTGATATTTTAGAACTGTGAACTACCAGGGGTTACATGATGAAGGCAGCTACATTTAGAAGTGAATTGCTTAGATAAACTAAGCCTGGGTTCAAACATGTTTTTAATATTCTAGGTATTTCCTTTGTGAAATGATTCTGCATGTTCCTGTCCTTTGGGAATTATTTAGACAATTGGCAAATGAAAGGTATTTCTCTGTCAAGTCAAAGAAATGAAATATATTGGTAAATTCTGATTCTTGTTCTATTAAGTGAGTGAAATGTTTTAGTAAGAAAAACTAATCCAACATATTCCTCTACAAACTCAGACTAATGGAATTTTAAGAATTAATGACATTGATGTAGTTCTTACTCTTGTTATAAACAGTGTTTATGTAGATATAGTTATATAATTGTATATATATACGTATCTACATACATGGTTACTTTATATTGTCTTTTTTCATCAAACTGTATTTCTGAAAACTTTACAATAATTTTTATTTTAATTATGCAAACACAAAGTCTTTTAAGAGAAGGAAGTATTACATATCCTTCTGTTAAAAACAATTTAGTCTTCCTACACAGTCATATTCTACATATCTTTGCTATGCTCAAAAGTTTGGCAGAAATACTTAAAAGGCACCATGAAGGTAGAGCAACTACCTGAAAACTGTATCCTAGTTAGAAGCATAATTTAACTCTGAACTTTCATGAAAGTTTATCTGTAATTCATGGCTCTTAGGAGATTAGGGGAAGAAAAATTTACTGGTTCTGTGGAAAATAGTCTTCTGACTAGGTAGGTTCCAAACATTAACTGCATTGGTAGCGTAAAAACCTACATTTATGATACCACACATTCTGTTTTACTTTAAATAAAATACTTACAAAGTTTTAATGGTGGAAACCAGTAAACTTTTTTAACAGCTTGGGAATTTTTTTGTATAATAATTTTTAAAATGAAATGTGTACTCTTCAAATTAATTAAGGCTTGAGATTTTGCAGGAATCACATTTTAAAAGTGTTTGTACACATTTTAACACTTGGATATTTTCTAGTTTGGTTTTGTATATTTTTATGTATACACAGTGTACAGACTTTTTCTTGTAAATAAAACATGTTTTCATTTGTCTACAAGTTTCTGTTTTAATTTGTAGATGTTGCACAAATTATTAAGTGGCAAAATAATGAGCCACGCATAGAAAAAAAAAAAAAAGTCATATAAAGCCAAAGCCTAATTAGAAGCTCCTAAGAGAAGTAACAACAGAATGCCTTCAAACTACAATGTGGACACAACCTCAGCCTGAAACTAGAGGTGGGTTGGTTTTCTTCATTCAGTGATTAATCGCCACATACAAGAGAGTAGCAGTAGCAAAATCAAGCACAAAGGCATATTTGTGTCTGACGTTGACTTAATAATCCTGCATTTTAATTACTGCCTTGGGAGACTTTCTCAGCTTGATGGGGCTTTAAGTCTGAGAGGATATAAATAACTTATTAGAGGAAAGCCTAGAGACAATGAAATCACCTACAATGTCAAATTAGCTCTGGTATTTTCATAGATGCCACATGAAGAGAAAGCCAATTCCTTAGGCACCTAGAAAGAAATCCCCTGTCATGTACACTTTACGGTTAGAATGTGAAGGAATCCTTGAAGGGAAACCTTGAGGGAGTTTGACAGGAGGACTGATGTGAGCACAGGGGGAATTCGAAAGACATTAATCACCTGTGACAGCTGTGCTGAATCAGAGAGGACTCCCACCACCTTCGCATCACCATCATTTTTCTTTTCGCACAAGATGACTGCTTGCTTCCAGATAATTAAAACTCAGACCTGTCTCCATGGACCCTGATGAGGAGGGACCAGAGATGAGCCCACAGAAGATGCTGGGAGAGCAACTGGGATGAGGCAGTTCCTGCCTGGAATGCTGAGGTACACACACAGGAGACACTACAGGTGGGAGACCCAAAGGCAAGGGAAGGTTAAGGCCAGGCAAAGGAATTATTTTAGGTTGCCATCAAAGAGGTGAGAGAAGAATAAGAAGGAGGCAGGAGTGAGAAACTAGGTGGGAAAGGGAAAGCTAAGTGAGAGGAAATAAAAATGTGTCAAGAATCTTAGATGCTAGTTGCATGAATGATAGTTGGATATCAATCATTAATTCAGAAAAAAATTACCACATCATTGAAGAGTTGACACAGATCCATGGTGCTGTTTTTAACAAATTCTGGTGCACATAGAATTTATGCAGAGCAGCATCCTTTTGTACTAAACCTCTGCTATACCCTCACTGGTCAGAGCAGAAGTTGGCTGGTCTGGCCCACAGATTATTTTTGTCAATAAAGTTTTATTGACACACAGCCACACTCATTTGTGCTGCACACAAAGGCAGGGTTGAGTGATTGTAACAGACATCTTAGAGCCTGCAGGCCCTAAATATTTATTGCTAGCTCTCTACAGAAAACGTTTGTCAATCCCTGATTAAAAATCGTTTGCAGGAATTGTTTAGGCAAACCTTGTGGTGGATGATGTACATGTAGTATTCACAAAACCACAGGCAAAGGTATGTTATTATATTATCTTAAGAAATTGGGAGTCAGAGAGGTGAATGAATCAGCCTGCCATCACACAACAGGAAATATCAGTGCTGACTTTGCAATCCTTGTTGGACTTCAAAGCCATTGCTCAGATCTATTCTGAAAGGCTACACTGCTCTAATATTCAAATATTTCATACCTTACCAAATTCTATGGTCTATTTGAAGGATAATTATACTTTGAATATTTGGGGTAGATGTATTTTGAAATTCATGGAGATTAGCAGAGGAGCCGGGCATTTAAAATTCACTCTGTTTCCAGAACACTAAATGTGTAAATCAAGTAACTTTTATTTTGTGACTACAAGTCAATTTCTCTCTGTCACAACCCAGTGAAAAGTGTGCCTCTGTTTGGCATGGAAAAGGCTAACTAACACAGAGGATTGGCATTTCATAAACCCTATTCCCAGTCACTGTCCTACTAAATTGTATCACGCCAGAAAAACAAACCGTCCTTATTGAAATAGCAAGATGCCAGATGAGATACTGATCACAAAGGTGAAAGTCAAAGAAAAGTCAATGACTTCAGAAAAAGACATCTTCTGTCATTTTAGGCTTCCCCATACTCTCAAAGGTGGAGAAATGAAAAAGGGTTAGAACAGCAGGATGCCCCGTGGTCATTTTAAAAGCTATACCGACACAAAGATTGTCAAGGGGCTTTAACTGCTCTTATGGTGTGAAACCTGTCTGAGTGAGCACAGGACAGTGGTGACGCTAGCGGAAGCTTTCAGAGGCCGTGCAGGTGTCTCTCTTCTCCTTTTCCAAATAAACCTGTCTTTAAAATGTTAAAAAAAAAAAAAAAAGGAGCCAGCAACCAGCTTTCTGAGCAACTCTCCTCTAAACTGCGCGTAAATAGCACATATGTCTACAAAATGCAACTAAATCTCTTTCATCATTAAACGTAATTTCTAACATACCTTTGCTTTCATTTTTATTGAAGTAATGTTGGTTTACATCACTGTCTAATTTTGGAAGTGTAAAGTCTTCCCCTTTTGGTGATGTTACCATAGTGCTCTCACCCGTGAAGTGCCCATAGTCCGCAACCAGCGTCCACCTTGGTGCCACGACTAAGGTCCACTGTGCTCCTCCTCCTTTTGTTTTCACCTCCCTCTCTGGATTCCTGTTCTGTAGTCAGCTTTGAAGGGTTAGATCTTATGTTTGACCTTATATGACCCTTTGTTTAGTTCTCTTTATGCCACATATAAGTGACACAGCTGATACTCGTCTTTTTCTTTCTGCTAGATTATACTTGCTGTAATCTCTTTGTGCTCCCTCCCTGTTGACATGAGTCTATCTCTTTGCTCACAGAGTAGTCCACTGTGTATATATGCCACAACTTCTTGAGCCACTCATCTCCTTGGTGACTGTAAATAGTGCTGAAATGAAAATGGATATACCAGATTCCCTTCATTTTAGTATTTTTGGATTCTTTGGGTAGGTATCTAGGGGTGGAATTGCTGGGACATGTGACAGATCCATTTTAATCGGTTGAGGACCACTATCCTACCTGCCATAGGAGCTGCAGTCTGCCTTCCCACCAGCACTGCAGAGGGCCCTTTCCTTCACACCTCCAGCACCTGTTTCTGGCCACTTTGATATCATTCTCACCCATGTGAGGTAGATCTTATTGTGGTTTTGATTTGAATTTCCCTGATGATAAATGATAAACTTTTTTTTCATGTGCCTGTGGGCTGTTTATTATGTCCTCTTGAGAAAAGTCCCCATTTGGCTCTTCTGCCCTTTTTTTTTTTTTTTAAGATTTATTTATTGATTGATACAGAACTGGGGTACAGGCCAGAGATGCGGAGGGTGAGAGGATTCACCACAGACAGAGTGGGGAGCAGAACAGGCAGATGGATGAAGTACACTGCTGAGGGGAGCAGCGGGCGGGTCAGGAGAGGTCTGCCACGCCATGTGGTCACCTCCGGGGCAGGCAGGAATCGAACTCATGCAGAAGTGGCTTAAGCTTCTCAGTGCTGTGCTTAAACCCGCTGCGCCACCAGGGAGGGCCTCTGCCCATTTTTTGATTGCGTTATTTGTTTTCTCTTTGTTGAATTGCATGACCTATTTGTAGATTTTGGATATCAGCCCTTTGTCAGATGTGCGAAGTATAAAAATGTTCTCCCCTTCAGATGGGTGTCTTCGTGTTATTTCAGACTCTTTGTGCAGAAGCTTTTGGTTGCTGTAGTCCCACTTGTCCATATTCTCTTTTGTTTTGCTTGTTGGTGAAGAAAAATCAATAAAGAACCCACTGGAGCTTATGTCACATCACTAAACTTAATTTCTATCTAGAATCTCCTTCGCAACAATAGGAAAAATATCATACTTCATTTCACCAAAGCCATCCTTAAGTACAAGATAGACCGATTTTTTGTGTAGCATGTTAAAGAATTTATTAAATAAATTTATAGACCTAATTAGGGTTATTAAATGATTCATGGATCTGTAGCATCACATCTAGGAAGGGAAAAGGCTGTAAAAGACATTGCACAAAATGGAAGGTTTTTATACTTTTGGAAAGGAGGGTAGGAAAAGATTGTCAGCACAAGAAAAGAAAGATTATTTCAGGCAAACCACCTTCCCTTAGAAAATACCAGCGTTTCTTATGCAGATTACCTCACTGGTGCCAATCTGGAAATTCCAAATTGGCTTAGAATTCCACTTTGGGGAAAAGCTAACACTGCAATTAAGTTAGGCATTAAGTTTTTGGGTTTTGTTTTTTGGAAGAGTGGGGAAGAATGACTCCATTTGGTCGTGTAGCTTTTAAAATGCTGAATTAAACTGT